TCCTTATTCCCATGTCATTGAGCAACTCCTCAAAAGGCTCAAAACACTTTTTCTACTGTGATTTGTTTCTGATTATTCTGTTTTACATGCTTTGGGGGAACTCATATATGTTTTAATGGCATATTGAAAAATGAAATAGATGGTTCCTTCCCTCTGTTGAGTGAAGAAAAATTTTTCTGCTATTTTTAGATAATACACATTAAATGTTCCCCTAGTCATTGCCCTGTACAAAGCACTTTTCAAAGCACTGTCTCTTGTGCTCAGTTATGTTTATTCTGGTTCAGTCTAGTTTAAAATGCTTCATTTCCTGGATTCCTTTTTCCATTAAATGTTGCTTTTAGATATTTTCACTTATTTTAAGTCTACAGACATGTTTTTATAAAAGATGTTGGATGAACATTTGAAAATGAGAAATCAGTCTCAGATTTTTGAGGAATAATTTTATTCTATCTACTAAAAGTCTGAATTTTTTCCATCTCCAAGACATCTGTCCTAAACACAGTTGGGTAGCCCAGTAGCACCCCCTCCCATCTTTGACAGACACTTCCTCGCAATCTCAGCTCCTAAAGTAGGTGCTGTCTGGGGCAAAAAAAGGAAAGGGGGAGTATAGATGATTCTGCATGTGCTTTACCTTTTATCAGAGCTCCTGAGAACACATAGGAAATGGTGCCTAAAAGTCAAGGAATGCTAAATTGGGAAGACACCATAGCAAGTTATCAGGACTGTCACACTACCTGAATGTGTTATGCACTTTACATCTGCATGCCCTTGATAATTATAGGGTGCCTTTGCTCTCTGGGCTGCCTTGCAAAAATGCAGTGCATCTTTTCTTGTGTAAGCCTTGAATTAATAATTTCCTGATCAGTGACAGCACAGCATTGTAAAGAACAGTATGTAAGTCCCCGATCAGCTTGTTTCACTACAGACTATAGTGTTTTATTTGTGTGCATTTTCTGTTTATCATATATTTTGAATATTTACTCAAGCAGATAGGGTTATATTATTGTAAGAATGATATATGTATTTTAGTGGAACAAATAAGAGAGTCAAAGTTAAGATACTTGTAAATGACTTTCATTCCTACAGTTCTTGCTAGGAAATGAATTCACTCCCACTTTTAGATTTCTTACTCAAATCACTGAGGAAGAAAATATTCAGTATACTTGTGTTATTGAGAAGCCATCGTGGTATTTTAAAGGCACGGTGTTCTATATATTACAGTATGACTCACTTCATTCTGTAGCTGCCAAAGGAACTGTCTTATGTGTAGTCATTGGGATGTGAGAAGATTGATATACGGTCATAGAAATGGTTGTTGACATGGACAATACCAAGTTACAAAGTCAAAGAGATGAAACTTCAAGATCATGTGAAAATTTTAAAATACAAATATTTCTATGAGTAACAAAAGACATGATATAGAAGTTATCCCATCTATTCTTGTCTTCTGATTGTTAAGTCCAAAGAATATAATATACATATTTGTGTATACATATGCCTGTATATGCATATATGTGTGTGTGAAGACAGCATAATGAAAACCACCATACACTGTTTTAAAAATGGGGGAGATGCTTCAGTAAATGGTGCTGGCAACATTGGTTTAACACATGTAGAAAATTAAAGCTATCACCCTGTACCAGAATCAACTCCAAATGGATCAAAGACCTTGAAGTCAAAGCAGACACACTGAAAACATTACAGGAAGGAACAGGAGAAATCCTAGGTCTCCTTGGCACAGGCCGAACGTTTCTTAATAGAGACCCAGAAACAACAAATCAAAGAAAGGTTGGACAAATGGGATTGCATGAAGCTACAGAGCTTCTGCATGGCAAAAGACATAGCTAGCAAGATCAATAGAAAGCCCACAGATTGGGAGAAGATCTTCACTAGTCATACAATGGACAAGGGTCTCATATCTAAAATATACTTAGAACTCAAAAAATTAAATCTCCCAACAACAAATCCTCAAAGAAACAACTGCCAGATAAATAAGTGGGTTAAAGTCTTAAAGAGAACTTCTCTGAAGAGGAAATAAGAATGGCAAATAGACACATGCAGAAATGCTCAACCTCTGTAGCCATAAAAGAAATGCAAATCAAAACAACATTGAGATTCCACCTTACCCCAGTTAGAATGGCTATAATAAAGAAATCTAATAACAGATGCTGGAGGCCAGAAGGGAACCTTACTCCATTGTTCACGGGATTGTAAACTTGTTCAACCACTTTGGAAAGCAGTCTGGAGGTTCCTCAAAAGACTCCACAAAGATCCCCTATAACCCAGCAATCCTGTTTTTGGGCATTTACCCAAATGATCACAAAAAAGGCCATACTGAAGCTCCCAGCCCAACTATGTTTATTGCAGCATTATTCACCATAGCTAAGATATGGAACCAACCCAGATGCCCCTCAGTAGATGAATGGATCAAGGAAATGTAATATATATATATATATATATATATATATATATATATATATTACTATGTATATATAGTAATATATATATATTACTATGTATATATATATATATTACTATGTATATATAGTAATATATATATTACTATGTATATATATATATATATATACATAGCCCCATTTGTTAGGAAATGGAAAGACTTGGAAAAAAATCATATTAAGTGAAGTAAGCCAGGCCCAAAGAAACATAGGTCCCATGATTTCTCTTATTTGCAATAACTAGTATATGTCTGGGACAAGTAGAAAAGGTCAAAAGCTATGTACATATAACCATATAAGATGATGTTAAGTGAAATGTACCCCAAGATAGGGACACAAGTGGTTTTTTCTTTCTTGCTATTGTTTCTAACATATGTGATTTTTTTGTTTCTTTGTTTATTCCTCGCCCACAGTATAACCCCTATTTTCATTGTATTTGATGTCAGTGACCTGCATCTTGTATATACAATTCTCTAGCTTTGGGAGAGGAAGGGAAAAAACAAAATGCTTAAATAGGGATACAGGTTGGCCCATTGTAATTATAAGATGCACAAGACACTATGTTGAAAATGAACTTTACAACTTTGGTGGGGGGGGTAGGGGGTGAGGGGTGGAGGGGTAGTTGTGGCAGCGGGAGGAAAGGAATCGTAGGGGAAAATGGAGGACTCAACAATGCTCGATAGGAAATGTACTCATTACCTTGCTCATTTAACTAACCTCTCTGTAAAGTATTTTTACAATTAAAAAAACATACAAAAATGAGGGAGATGGATATAGATGTGTAATATGCCTATATGAAATTATTACCTCTTATATTACTAATGGGTGCTTATTCAAAAATAAAATTTATAAAAAGGGTAAATAGAAGAAATTTTCCAAATGCTTCATTTTATGCTTCATTTAATACTTGATTAAAATGTTGTCTCATAAGAGACAACATAAGAGATACAAATTTAAAAAATAAGCCTTTACCTTTTTTTTTTTACTTTGGTACTTTTTGCATAAGTCAACCAATGCTTGATTGCTAACTTTGACCTTATGCTTTCCTTGTCTTTGTCAGTGCTCACAGTTATTTAGTTCTGGGAACAAAGTAATTTTTTGTATTTCAGTTATTTAGTTCTGGGAACAAAGTAATTTTTTTGTATTTCATTATTCATTTGGGAACCCATTTGCTATTGTGGCTGCAGAACTTGGCCTAACATAAATGTTTGAGGTGGATGATTGAATGGTTTGAATGAGATTATCTTTTTATACAACTGCTGGTAACTTAGAAGAGAGCATTTTAAATTAAGAATGTTCTCTAACTCACTAATACAAATATGTATGACATATGTTATATTGCCCTAAAATTTTAACTTTAGAAAATTTTAACTTTAGAAAATTTTAACTTTAAAAAATTAACTTTTTAGAAAGCAGTAATATATTAAGTAAGTAACATTGTGAATACTCACAGTACAGACCATCTCCAAAAGTGGGGCAATCTTTTTACAAACTACCCTAAAATATGTAAATTAATTTATGTCATAAAAACTAACCTAAAATTACTTCTAATTAGGATATAATTGGTTTTTTTTTTTTGGGGGGGGTCCGGTCGTGGGGCCTGAACTCTGGGCCTGGGCGCTGTCCCTCAGCTCTTCAGCTCAAGGCTAGCACTCTACCACTTGAGCCACAATGCCACTTCCGGCTTTTTTCTTTTTGCTTATGTGGTGCTGAGGAATCGAACCCAGGGCCTCAGGCATGCAAGGCAATCGCTCTACCACTGAGCCATCTTCCCAGCCCCCGATATAGTTGTTTTTTATTTAACTATTAATTGAGGTTGTCGTTGGGTGACTATGTAATCTAACTACTGGGCTAACTTTCACTTAAAGCTATATTATTTTGGATACTCATTATAATTGACACTTTGCGTTTTGATGCTTGAGAAGCCCTATTGATAGACAACACTTTTAGATAAAATTTCTGGTTTAGGAATGTTTATTTATTAATGTTTGCTATTGCCCTTCACCTCTCTAAACCCTATTAATTTTTCCAGGCCAAATTGAAGATTATAAAACGTAATGAATGTTTCTCTATAGCAGTTTGGACACAGTTTATAGTGCTTATTTCTTTTTGTTTGCACTAGTTTACTATAAACATTTCTGCCTTTGGTACTGGCTTCTAGCGGGCAATGACTGCCTCATAGGTATCATATATCTTTCAAGCACCTTTCACAAGGAATTGAGCAGTCATCCAAGATGCCCAGGTGTGAGTTCCTACTTTATTATGTATCAACTATGGAACTATCTCATCCCTTAAAAAGAAATAGCAGCAGCTGTTGTTGTAAGGATTAATATAGCTTGTTAAAATGCTTCTTTTGGTGCTTAACATGTAGGACATCCCACAACCTACTTTTCTTTTTTCTAAATTGTCTAAAATCTGAGTCCTTGGGAGGATTTGTCTTTTTTCTGTATATCTCAGGCTTATAATCTACCTTATGGTAAATACTTAATAAATACTTGCTTGAGTTGAATTAATTGATTTACCTGTTTTTATCTTCCATTACAGCCCACTGTTTGTAACATGGAAGATTGGTCGAGACAAAAGATTACGTGGATGCATAGGTACTTTTTCTGCCATGAATTTGCATTCAGGACTCAGGGAGTACACACTTACCAGGTGAACACCAGTTTTGTTACCTCTACTTCTATATTCTAAACAAAAAGTTGATGAAATTTGAACCTAATATTTAAATCCTTTACCTTTACTAAATTATTAACATTCTTGACTTTTCATATGTTTTCTTGTCTTTGACCAGTTATTTTATCTCTTATAAAATGTTATTGATCTTTATTAGCATAATATAAAATATCTGCTTACATGCTTTGAAGTGATTTTTTTTTTCCTTTCAGTGGCCAGCTTATCTAGTATAATTGAAAAAAATCAATTACCAAATATTCATGGGTTACCAAAATATACTATTTCTATTAAAACAGTCATTATGTTTTCTTTATTAGGCCTTTAACACATTTGTTACACTCTTCTGTATTTTTGAAATTGAAAAGTGAACTTAGGAAGAAAGTGATATCCTAGCTTGGCAGATAATTAGTCACATTCATCTTTAACCCCAAATTAATTGTAGCTTGCTTATTTGTTTTACGTAACACATGGACAAAGTTATAGTTGCTTAGATTTTGGTTTTCATTTTTGAGCTTACCAGAAGCTATCTAGCATGCCATCTGACTCTTTTTGTTCACATTTAGATGTCTAGCGAATATTATTTCAAAAGAAGAGAATTCCTTAAATAATAAGCTATTAGTAAAGGAATTTCCTGTTTTTGTTCATATTTTGGGGGTTTAATCTGACACAGTTTCTATAGTTTTGATATACACAGTGTACAATAAAAATTCCATCCTCACTCACTGTTGGTACTAGGTGCTATTTGCTTAAACCATCAGAGGTTATATATATACCAGAAGTATATTAGTAATTACAATATTTTGTTCTACATACTTAATAGGGATATTTGGAGAATGAAATAATCACTCACCATTCTGCTTCAGGGTTCATGTTATGGAATTTTCATTATTTTACTGTGGAATTATATAAATGTAGGCTCATGCTTCTAACTAATAAAATTCTGTACGTTTAGTATTGTCACATTGGTACGTGTGCAGTAGCACACAGCTACAAGGGCTTCTCAGCTTACATGAAGCTCAGTAAAATAAAAACCAATGACTTAGAGAGTCATATTCTTTTTATGCCAGTCCTGGGGCTTGAACTCAGGGCATGGTTACAATCCCTGAGATTTTTTGCTCAAGGCATACTTGGACCACAGCTCCATTTTCCAGCTTTTTGGTGGCTAACTGGAGGTAAGAGTTTCACAGACTTTCCTTTCTGGGCTAGATTTGAACCCCAGCCCTCAAACCTCAGCATCCTGAGTAGATAGGATTATAGGTATGAGCCACTGGCTTTGGCTATATTCATTTTTAGCTTTTGACAGGCATTACAAACTGGACTTAACATACAGACTTTAAGAGTCACATCTAGAAAGAACTAAAATTTGAGAGGGTAAATGCTGACCTATGTCTGTTAGATTTTTATTACTATTATTCTTACAAAAAGGACAGTGGACCCATTTTGGGACTTCATTGAATTCTCCCAGTGACTACCTTTTGGGTATAGGTACATATAAAATTCCATATTTGATAAATAACCACAGATGAGTTATTGTACATTTCTCAAAGTAACTTGTTATGAGGCACACTGGTTCCTTAGGATTGCTTGAAAAAGGATTTTGTTGCCAAGCAACTTTGGGAATCTAGCTAAAAACACAACACTTGTTAATAAATGTAAACAGTGCTGCTTATTGCAGTATGTTTCAAAACCTTTTATGTTTTAAAAATTTTTTAATTTTAATTTTTATTGTAAAGGTGATGTACCGCGGTGTTATAGTTACATAATTCAGGTATTGAGTACACTTCTTTTTTAACAGTCACTCCCTCCCTCATTTTCTCCCAGGTTTTTCCTTCCGACTCCCCCTCCCCCCTGCAAATTGTATAGTTCATTTTCAACAGGTATCACTCCTGAATTACTTCACCTTTTTTCTCAGTCTTCCCCTTCCCTAATCAGATAAATTTACTTACAAGACAAAAAGTACAGAAATCAAAAACAGTGACTAAAGGGAAGAAAGCAGAAGAAAAGAAATGCAAAAAGTAAAATTAAAAAACCCTCTTGATTCCACTTCTTGGAACATTTTATGTTAAAAACATAAGAAATCAATAACAGATATGTACCATTTCATTGGGGGGGGGGGAATGCATGCGTGTGCACATGCATGCACTGGTGCTTGAACTCAGGGCCTCAATGCTATCACTTAGCTTTTTCCCTCAAGGCTGTTACTCAAGAATTTGAGCCACACCTTCCCTTCCAGTTTTTTGCTGATTCCTTTTGAGATCAGAGCCTCATCTTCTTTCCTATCCAGGTTAGCTTCGAACTGTGATCCTCAAATCTCAGCATCCTGAGTAGCTAGGGTTACAGATGTGAGCTCCCAGTGTCCAACTCATTGGACTATTGCAGCATTTTCTGGACTTCAGTTTATTTGACTACAGAAATCTTTTATTACTCTTAGTTGTACTAGGGATTAAACTGAGACTTGCTAGTCAATTGCTCTACCACTTGAGCCATGCCCCAAGTAGTTTTGTTTTTAGTGTCCCATATAGTCTTTAGCTTTGCTTTGGCTATCCTGGGACCACCCAGATCTCTACCTCCTGAGTAGCTGGAATGATGTGTGTGAACCACCACACTTGGCTTGTTTTTTTGGTTGGTTGTGGGGCTTGGCTTATTTTTGAGATAGAGCCTCACTAGCTTTTTCCTGGGCTGGCCACAGAAAGCAATCTTCTTATCTTTGCCTCCCAAATAAGTAAGATTACAGGCAAAGTCACCATACCTACCCTTATAGAGTCTTTTTTATCCTCCTACTCTAATCAATGTCTTATTCCATTAGTAGTCTAGGGAACATAATTCTAGAAATAAATATGTTAGGAAATTTGAATTTTCCTTTATATTTGGCCAGTAGAGAGTATATATTTGATTATATAGAAACTCCTTTTTGTTTTCTAGTGAAATTGTAGCAGAAATCCTATTATGAAGTATTATACACTTTAGAAATATTTAGTAGTAACTGGTAGTAATATGGAATTTTTAAAGAAAATAAATTCTTCCACCTACATAGATAAGAAATGAGAATATCCAATTTTTCTAGACTTTATCACAAAGGGTAATTACTAGAATGGTAGTATATTTTTCTAACAATATTATGCCAGAGTAAGTTGTTCAAACAGTTGAACTTGGAAATTTGCCGATTCTTATGCATCTTGTCTCTGTGTGATAGTCTGTGGCTCTTCCTGTTTATTTTTCAAGTTTTTGCTCATGTTTCTATACAACTTCCTCACATTGTATAATAGAGCACATTAAAGAGTGGTATATACATATGTATGAGTGACTGTGTTGTGTATACATATAAATGTCTGGTTTTACTTTTCACTTTTGCTTGGTTGGTATAATGTTATTTGACTAAATATTACAAATCAAGTTATTTGGGAGGAACAGACAAAATACAAAATACAACCAGATTCTTTTAGAGTCACTAATAGTATGAAGTCATTTAACAAATTTAAATGTATTTTTAATCCAGTGGTATACTTATTTCTACATGTTATTTTGTGAAAAAATTAATAATTCAGACAATGCTGAGGAACTTTATGTTCACAACCCTCACAACAACTCTTACATATCAATATCCATATTTTAGAAATGAGGAAATTGAGATAAAAGTGTTCCTATTATTTACCCTTTCATACTTCTAGTAAGGTGGTGGAAGCAGGATTCACAGTCAGGACATGTGACTGCAAAGCCGATCCTTCTGACTCCTATATATGTACCTCATTCTCACTCAACTTGAAAGTCTTTTTTACTTTAGATTGAAATAAGGTGTTAAAATAGGAAGAAAAAATTTACTGTAATTTATATATTAAAGCTTCATCATGAAAATGTAATCATGGATCAACCATTCTACTTAATGCTATAATTTGGTAACATGATTTGAAATTTCAAAAAAATCCATAGATGGGATTATACAAAGCGTATAATTCATAGTTGTTTAAAGTAGTCAAAATAAAGTAGACTTGGATTACTAATATAAAAATGTATAATATTTATTATAAAATACAGTACACTGGTATATTAAATTGTATTTTTTAGTTGTATAGCTGAGATGTCAAGGAGAATACAGTTTTTCTGAATTTAACAATCTTTGATTCTTGGTGTCTTGCCTTCCCATCATAAAACCGGTTATTCACAATACAAACTAATGAGTTTAGAGAGCAAAACAATAAGCAAGGAAATTAAGGACTTTTTAGGTAAGGTGTCTTTAAACAATTAGAACATCTGTTTATTCATTATTTTCATCTGCAATTAGATAGCCTGCTGTTCGTTTTCAAAGTGTTACTCAGCTATACTTTTTATTGTGGTAAAATATACACAAAATGAAAATTACCCTTTTAACTATTTTAAAATATAAAATTCTCTGGGATTTACCCAGCTACTTTGTTGTACAACCATCCCTGCCATCCTTATTCCCTTTGTTGTACAACCATCCCTGCCATTCTTATTCCCAAACTGAACTCTGTATCACTGTCCACCAGCTTCCATTCACCTCTCACAGAGTTCAGCACCACCATTCAATTTTCTGTCTGTGAAACAGACTGTTCTAGGTTGCTATGTGTCATCACATGACTGATTTTCTTTTCTTAACATGTTTTGAAGGTTTATTCATGTGAAAACATGTCAAAGTCCTTCCTTTTTCAGGCTAAATAACATTCCATCATGTACATACACATACACACACCATCATCACTTCCACCACTACCTCTATCACCACATTTCGTATATGCATTCATCCATCTGCATTTTTGGTGTCTTCTAACTTTTGGCTGTTGTGAAAAATACTGCAGTGAACATGGTGAGTATACCAAGATCTGAGGGCACTCTCTAAAAATTAGTTGTCTTATCCAAGACAATATGATCTGCCTTGTTTATGCTCCATGAGTATGTTAAGCATTTCTATTAAAAATTACCAAATAAAATGAAACGTATATCCTGGATTAAATTTTGATTCA